GCACAACCGCCGGGTTATGGATGTGTTTGCGTTGGCAGATGAAGGCTGGAGTATCACTGACGTGAGGGCACTACTTACTAACCGTGTTTAGTTCTTTCTCTCTCTCTCTCTCTCTCTCTCTCTCTCTCTCTCTCTTTTTTTTTGAAGTGTTTTACGGCGCTCACAACTGCACAAGGTCATATGAGCGCGCGGGACACATTAAACTTTTTTAGTTGTAGGAAATTTTGAAATTTACTGGGTTGCGGCCGAACCCTACTCTTATCGATTTTAGACCACCAAGGGATCTTAAACGTGCGCAACTTGCACCCTGGCCCTCGGAGATTTTTCGCCCTTGTTCGAGAAGACTAGGTGCAGATCTTTCCTACCAGAAGATCAGGGGTGTGGCTGAAAGACAGCAGTAAGAAGGAGCCAAGGAGCAGAAAGACAGGGGACGAAAGCGGACGACAGAATATTGCTAGAGAACAGGAAAGGAGGTGAAAGGAAACAATTTAAGAGAATAAAATTTTCCGTCGCTACACGGATTCGAACCCAGGACCTTTGAATGAGAGGCCAACACCTTAACCTCTTGGCCGCGAGAGCCCCCTTAGTTCTCTCCACGAACGTCTGTCCTCCTTTCTGGATTTTGTTTATGGCTATGTGTTTGTAAAACGCATAGAGCAGGGATATGCGCTATCTATAGAAATGAAATTATTATTTTTATTGTCGTTCAACACTTTTACATATTTTCTTTGGCTTTAGATATTCATTTTTTTCAGAAGAGAATAATTACTGAGAAAAAGGCGAAGATCTTTTCTTTATAGTTCATGGTTTTGCAAGGCGCACTTGGATATTTTTTTAAATAGTAGCCTCACGTTTCAGTTTTTCTTTCTTATGAGAGACATAAAGTCGTCACCGTTGTCAACATACAATTATGTGCTACTTTTCATTTCCAACAGAACTCACCTATGCCATTTTCTCTCCCAGAATGCCACCAGACGAAGAGCCAGGCCATACGTCGGTGACCACGGCTACGACAACTACCTACCCAACATGAAACCCTTCTTCATCGCCATGGGCCCGGCTTTCAAATCCGGCAAAACCGTTGAGCCAATCAGCAACCTGGACGTCTACTCGCTTGTGTGCCATCTATTGGACATCACACCAGCGCCAAATAACGGCAGTCTGGACCGAGCTTCCCCCCTGCTCCAGTCTCCGGGTGCCGCAGCCTCACACACACTCACCACACTGCTGCTGTCCTCTGCTCTGGCCACATTCTGGGCGACTGTCTATGATCTCTGAGTGTGTTCCTTCTGTATTTTGTAGGCAAGCTGCTAAAATGCATTAAGCCTTGAAAGCAATATGTTATGAGAGTGAGAAGGAGAGGGGAGATAGATAGATAGATAGATAGATAGATAGATAGATAGATAGAGAGAGAGAGAGAGAGAGAGAGAGAGAGAGAGAGAGAAAGAGAGAGAGAGAGAGAGAGAGAGAGAGAGAGAGAGAGAGAGAGAGAGAGATTGTTTCATTCTTTAACAATTGCGCCTGACGTTATGCATTTTGTCTTGCTTTTATAAACGCTGTTTAGGTTTTGAATTTTGACGAAGTATTTCTTGATCACATGCTACTAATAACACACATTAAGAAACAGAAATTCTTTTTTAAAAGTAAAAATTTCGGGCTTAGTACAAAATACATTTTAACAGCTGGCCAAGGATCTGTGTTATATGAGGTGTTTACTTTTGAGTTAACGCTTTACGGCACTTGCAACACGATCGAGTGTGGAAGATAAAAGGCGTTACTAGAGAGTAACCTACAAAGAAAAGAAGGAGGATAAATAAGAGCGAAGATGGGGATTGAAAAAAAGAAGCAAACCACACCACAGCCCCCGCCAACCGCCTACAATGTTGTTGTTTTTTCTTAATGAAAGTGTTTTCACACCCCAATCAACACAGTTTAGGAGACGGGCTTCCAGCTCTGCCTGTCAGGACCAACCCTGGCAAACAAGGACGCAACATCTCAGCACAAATACAGAGACAATCGATAAAAGTTTTCTCCCCACTCGGGAATCGAACTTGGGTCGCCTGTGTGCGACAGCGAAGTGCCTAACCGCTACACCAAAGACAACAGTACCCAAAATATAAAGATAATCAAATTATAAATCCTAATTAAAGTTTTTCTTTAAGAAATTTTATGCGACTCTTTGGGTTGGTTGTGTTGCAAATGTCGGGTGGTACGGAAAAGAGACCTTACACTTACACATTCTTTGTACTTGTACGGAGAGTCAAACGGTTTTATGAAACGTTTAGGACAAAATATAAGAAGTGTATAAAAGAAATCAGTCTTGCAATTGTAGCTAATTGAGAAAAGCTCATTGAGCACACATCAACAGTAAATATGCACCCCCAAATAAATGCGTTCAATTACTATTTTTATCATATTAATCATCATCATCATCACAGTTATTATTATTATTATCATGTTATCATTGTTATTTATGCATAACTATGTTGTCATTGATTTATAAATATTGAATCATTTATCTTTATATCTTTTTTTCAAATTACATGCTCTACAGCTGATATATTTTTACACACAACTGACAACGATTAAGCAGGGAGCTTGCACTTAAAATGAATGATTTTGAGGTCTAAGCATACATTTCTATCCGAATTTTATGCTTAATAGTTATGGATTGCTATACTTGGGTATGTGTATCTCTGATGTAGTTTTCTTTGCACAGCTATCAAATTATTCAGAATTGAAGGAAGGTTTCCATTATAATGCATGTGCGTGTAGACGTGCGTGTATTTGTCTAAAAAAAAGTGAGTGTTTGTTTTTGTATGTGTGTATATGTATATGAATGTGTGTATGCTTTACTGTTCAGTGTTCAGTCTCTGTGTGTGAGCAGGAAAGAGAGGAATACAAAGCGTTATTTGTACAGGCAATGTTTTCATGATTGTTATTTACTTCTCACTCCACGCATGTCCCTATCATGTTCTTATGTAAACTAGATCTTTTCATAGTTGTTGTTAGCATTTAATTAAAAGTCCCAATCGAATCCTCGTTGTTACTCTGTCATGTTTTGAGCTGTCATGTCGTATTTTAAATAAGTTGTGTCCAGAAAATACGATGTGTTGTGGGATACCTTCGTGTGTGTTAGTGGTATTGCTGATGTGCTTGTAGTCCTGTAATGCATATTGTTTTGTTCTTGGGTAGTGAATAGAAGTGAAAGACCGTAGAAGGAAAGGGGTTCGCAGGAGTGGAGGTCATGATAATATAATGTTTAGAGTTCCAGTCTTTCTTCAGTTTTAGTAAGAGTTTTACGGCACTTGATTCACAAAGAGGTCATATGAGTGCGGAAGATAAGAGGTGTTAGTAGAGAGTAACCTACAAAGAAAAGTAAGATGAGAGAAAGGGCGATAGATGCTTGCTGATAGTAAAGAAGGAGTAGACCACACCAGAGCACCACCAACCACCCACATTTAGTTCGAAGTTAAGGCTCTTACAACACAAAGCAAAGACCCGATATCATTTTAACGCGAGTCTGCGAACTCCTTGTGAATGAAGGCCCTCAGTGTCTTTGGTGTAGTGGTTAGGCTCGTTAACGTTTAACACAAGAGACATTGCTTCGATTCCCATGAGCCGAAGTATATTTTGTAATAAATAGATACCGTTTATATATATATAGCGCAAATCCCCGCTCAACATGCGCTTCACAATCTATACTTTGTATATTTTGTCGAATAGTTTCGTTTCTGCAGGCTGTGCCGTCGCAGTCTGTCTCCTTAATGAAGCAATTTGTGTCGATGGGGTGTAGAGCATTTAGTTACATGTACTATGAATTTGTCTTGGTAGCTCACACCAAAATTAACAGACTTATTATATAGTTCGTGCAAGAGAGAGAGAGAGAGAGAGAGAGAGAGAGAGAGAGAGAGAGAGAGAGAGAAAGACAGAGAGACAGACAGACAGACAGACAGACAGACAGACAGACAGACAGACAGGGACAGAGAAAGTAAAAAGGGGGAGGGGAGGGGGTATTTCGTTGAGCGAGACACACTGGCTACCCCAGCAACAACCCGCCCTGTCTTCTAACCGCAGTATTGTTCATCTACCTTTTAACCTTTATTTTCTTACACGTAGAGGGCCTTAGTCTTATCTCTACTCTTAGGAACATGAACTCCAGGGTTCCAACACTTTTAGAGCAACAAAAAGGATGATACCTGATGAAACAGCAAAAGAGGCGTATTTGCAGAATGAGTCAGAAACCTCATTGTTCTACTTTATTCATACTTGAACATATGTAAAAATATACTTTTTAATCAATGAATGAACCCTGTACCATACACCCACATGTCAACTTTTAAATGAATATTCAGGTAGAACATCAGTACTCTAATGCACACTCACCACCAAAACACACACTCACAAACAAACACTCACAAACACACACACACACACACACACACACACACACACACACACACACACACACACGACGTACACACACACGCACACGTTCACTCACTCGCTCGTGCATTTATTCCTTCAGTCATTCACACTCAAATATGAAGATAAAAAAGTATACACATACAATACACAAAAGAATAAAATAACATACATCTGTACATAGCTCAGTAGAAGACATTCTTTGCATATTGTTACCTCTTCTCAGTCAATGGAACCAGAAATCAAAACTTTCAGACATACAAACTGCATAGTTTACTTTGTGTGGCCTGTATAAATGTGCTTCATACCAAAAACAGCCGTACGTAATTGCACTTGGATACCCAATGAGACAGTACAAAAAAAAAGAGGTTTACCAACGTAATATCAACACAGCAATCACACCATATTCAAGGAATACTGCCCAGAGGATTTAAACAATATTTTATACTTTCTGGCGTTAAGAGATTGATATTGCTCTGAATTTTACATCCATTAATAGTATGAATTTGGCGAAAGCTGGAACAATCTTCAGACCTGCCAGTGGCCTGTCTCTCGCAAAGGCACTTGGGAAAACATCAAGGCAGACGACCTGGCCACACTGCTAAAAGGCAGGAGTAAAACAATAATGACATGGTGTGCAAATTCTAAATGGAATTTAAAGTCTGAAGATTGTCCACCAGGAGGTTAAAGAGTTAAAAAATCTACTCCTTTCAAGAAACAGGATGGGTATCCCCCCCCC